AAATGTTAGCAGACAAACAAATTCCCCAAGGCGTCTCTCAAAGTGTGCATTACATCATTCAAAACAGATCGTTACTTCAAAATGACTCAAGTAAAAACAAAGGATAACTTATGATTTATTTCTGAGATAATATTGAGCGTTTTTTTTTTTCAAGTCAGCGAGTGGGTGATATATAATTCTATTTGAACATTATCAAAAAGAATCAAAATTAACAAAGATATAACCAGGAATAAAGACAGGCATACTCATAACGAGACCCATTGGAACATGGCCACATTTTCTACAAAAGAACGAGTGCACTTATGGGCCCCAGTAAAATGTGGAAAAATGAAGTATCAAATTAAGCATAATTTTCCATCTCAGATCATTAATTGATATCTTAACCATAATATTCAACACATTTTATCGCTGAAATTCATGAATATACAAAGAGCATTTAGCCATACAATGTGGTAGGGGTCAGCCAACATTCGTGATTTTCCATAGTAAATCGAGGACGGTCATTCATTTCAAAGCTTTTGTTTACTATCAGCGTAACGTTGTACAAAATTGTGCGATTGACAAAAAACGCATTATACATTTATAAAACTTGTGTGAAAGTAGGAAATTTGTACAAGATTAGGCTTGTACTTGAAATATTAAAAATACATGAAAAGTTCAATGTTTTTCCTATAGCAAGCGAGAGCTATTTACCTGTATGACCTATGTTGAACCCACCCGTGGAATAAATTATTTAAAATACCGGTAGTCACGTGAGTTCTACCCAGGTAAACATTCCTAAAAGATGCTCACCGTTAAAGAGAGCCACGTTTTGCTTCATATCGAGGTCATGCCGCATAGAGAAGTTTGTATGTATTTGGTTTTAGGTACACGGGAGGGTTAGCAGAGTTTAGTGTCTTTAAAATATCATCATAAATAAAAGCGTCAAACATTTTAAAATTCAAGCAAAGCAATGCTACTGGTATTGAAAGCCACCTAATTACACTTTTTTATTTCAAAATTTAAAGAAACTAATGTTAATACTTATTGTAGTATTTCAAATGCAAGCGTGCAAATTTCTTAGTTTGATCACTATGGCTACAGGCATCTATACAACTTCATTCGATTTTTTTTTCTCAGGTAAAATAGCGCAAGAAGTATCATTCGGCAAACGCGCCTGTGAATGATCCACCATCAGAATGTTTAAGTGTTCGATTCAAATGTCTCCTCCCCTTGATTTAAATAAATGAAACTCAAAATAGGTTCGGTACGACTTTTCCGGATTTTGGGTATCTATAGGGATTTCAAAAACTTCATTTGTTTCAAATCCTGATTTAGGTGATGTTTTAACGTGATTTTAATTAGAAATATCCACTTGTGTTTAATCTATTGCCAAAAAAGAACAATTTGGTAATATATTCTAAAGTAATACGGCACTGAAAAGGTACAGACATGAATTTAACACTTCCAATGCATTGAAATCACAAGGTTTTTTTCGTGAACTTCTAATGTTTCGAATTAATCACGTTATGTATTTCAAATCCCAAGAAATCTTGTCGCTGTCCATAGTTTAAGATCAAAAGCTATCTCTGTGCCAAAGTTCTGCTTTTAACGTCTCTCCATAACAAGTTGTAAACCTTGATTTATATCCACTTAACTATACCGAAGGAGCCGAATCCTCGGTCATGTATTATGAAAGCTGAGTAAGCCGAATCCTCGGTCATTTATTCTGAAAGCTGATTACTGGTTAATTGATTTGTATAGTACTGCAAGTATTTGTCCATCAGATTAAATAAAGAAAATTAATGTCTAAAATGTACATTTTAGTATGTAATAAAATAAGCAAATCACCAGGACTTCGACTTTTCATAGAGGTCATGGATTTTATAGGGAACTTCTTGCCCATTTAACTTGTTCCAACAGTTTGCCTGCTTAATTGATGCTCAGGAGTAGAGAAGATGCTTTTCCAATATGACCAACTATGTGACAGAAACACTGGACCCAACAAAATTCAGATATAGAGCTCACACTCAGAGTAAAAATACTTGTTAACTGAAGTTTTACACAGCAAACTAGGGTTTACCACAGTTAACTATAGGAACTGTCTAAGATAGTATGTCGACGTTTTTTGCTTAGTAAATCAATATGTTAAGTTTTCTATTTTGAAAATCTATTATTTTGCTAGAGTTTTACTATAATCAATCAAATACTAGTATTTTTCTTTTAATCTCAAATAGTTGATCTTTTTTATTCTTATTTTCAAATGCGATCTTTAAAAGGAAGTATAACTTAAATATTTTAATTTCATTTTCAAAAATTACCATCATTAGTTTGTGATATGAGAAATATTAATGATGCTGAGGATTAAAAAAGAATCAAGTTTCAAGTTTCATCAAGAATCAAGTTTCATCGTGAATCTAAATATAGGAAAGCTTCAAAATAATACAGTTAATCAAGGTAAAAAAGTAAATTATAAAATATATATTATAATAGTAAATCACAGTACTGAAGTATGTACTATTTTATATGCTTTTCTGTTAAAGTATTGTTAATTATAGTCAGCTATAGCTTACGAATTAATTACTTGTTGGGGTAGCCCGCGTGGCGCACTGGTTAGGGCGTTCGCTCTAGAGTCGCGGAGTAAGTAGTTGATCCTTCGAATCCCACTGTGGGACGTGGAAACCGGTCCTTCGGATGAAACCATATAAACCGAGGTCCCGTGTCGCAGTAGGTGCTGACACGAAAAAGATCCCTCACTGCTCAATGGCCCTAAGTGTCGAGTATAGGTCAAAATTTGCAGCTCTCCACCGGCAAGTTGTGGCGTCTCCAAATGAGTGAAAAATTCTCGAGAGGGACGTTAAACAATAAACAAACAAACAAAAAATTTGTTAGGGTACTGGTCTTTATAATGTAGCCCAGGAGTGAGTGGAAGGAATAGATTTTCATTCTTAAAAAAAAGGGGGGATGATTTAAAAGATCTTTATAACATCATCTTTACATATATACCAAAATTCAGTCCTTCTAGAGGGAATCTGAAGTCTTCAAAATTTTAGTTCGATTGACTAATGTTACATATAAGTGACTCAGGCGAGTAAAAACGAAAAAAAATCTTTTATTGCCAGTGATGATTAAATATGCTTATGATCATTAAATTATTTTTTTTTTATTCTAATTTCATTTCTTTTGAATTCTAAAATCAATCATAATATACGTACTTTGGTATGGAACAATTTAAATAATTTTTTTCATATTGAAGCCGATATCTTGCAATTGGAAAAATTCAATGAATACATTATATACCTCCTATAAATGTTACTGAACTCTATCTGAATAAAAAACGGGATAAAACCTTTTACTAATTCATAGTTTAATATGCATAAATTGTAAGCTATGCATATGACCTTTAACACAAACACATGTCTTCTTTAATGTGTACAGAATTCTTGTACTGTATGTTTACTATCTTTGATAATGGCACATAACAGTATTGTCTTTTGCATTGCAGATAAACTAATTATCTCTTTAACATTTACGTCATATTACATAAATAACGCACAGGTAAATACATTTCGCAGATACTCATGTAAAAAAGATATTGGTGTACTTTAAACACGAGCCAAAATCGCTAGATTACACTTTTTCCACTAGAAGTGAAATCTTTCTGACCAATAAACAAAGACAATATGTAATGGATAGATAACGAAATGGTGTTGAATAGTTTAGAGAAAACATTCGGCCCGAGGAGGGGGATGTTTTCCCTAAACTTTTCAACACTATCGAGTTATTTATCTTACTTAAAAAAATTCCCCACTTTGGACCCCAACGAAACATTTACCAATTCATATATCCAACTTTGCTGTAATACAATAGGATCTAGCCCATTTAGATATCCAACAGTGACACAATACAATAGTCTAATCGAACACCCCTTGTATTCATGGACTAGTGAGCATGAACTGCATGGCGCTAATGTCATTTCAAACCTTTCCATTATACTGAACAGTCATGATCAGACGAAGAATATTTTTAAATCCAAAGTAAATTTAGAGGGGTTTAGATAGTATTTTGAATACTTTTGAACTGGAAGCAGAAGAAAACTACAGAATTGTGATAAAAGTTTGGGAATTTATCTTTACATATAAGATGAAGATTTGCTGAGGAAGAGTGTTGGAATCTTATGGAGTTCCATTCGGACAATACACTGTACTTCAAGAAGTGCTAAATCAGATGAATAGATTGTCGGTGTTATGCGGAACCTGCTTTAAAACTATTCCATATCAAGATCTGCAATATAAACGGTGTTAAAAAATAGATGTGCTGTCAATTTATTAAATTGTTTTAGAACTTATGGAAGTATGGAAGTAGGAAGTATGAGAACAGATGAACCTCGAATAATCTGAGGGGATTTGCCAATAACGGTCCCCTGAAATAATATTCAGCGACAGGAAGTGATGTGGTTCAAGGTTCAAGGTGAAAATGCATTTATAAGCTTGTCAAAAAGTGATGCTTTCAAAATTTAAGACTGGAAACATTAAAAATACCATCGGATAAATATTGGATATTTTATTGGCGACAAGAGTCTAATAGTGTGCAAAATGGAGAGGAATTGTTATTTTTGTGAGCATTGGAAATGGTGTGAAAAATGCGAATTAATTCCGTGTGCACTGGAAATAAATTCTAATAGAGTGACAAATTCGGAGTAATTATTTTTTCCATGTGCATTGGAAATACATTTTAAAACTCTTTTATCTCTTTTGTTCATTGCTTATTTATTTTTTTATGTTAGATATTTAAATATCCAACGATATCCAACGATATGCAGTTGGATATTTGAAATCCAACTGATGGCCAGTTGAATCTTTAAATATCCGACTAGTGCTGATTGAATCGGTAAAATATACGTAGACTAATAACAATGGGTGACGTCATTGAAGTTTTTTTTTAAAAAAATTAGAAATTGATTTTTTTTTTGTGTGTCACTCTTGAATATTTAATTCAGATGATAAGACATTTGGTAAACATCACGTGTAGAAACTTGCATCGGGGAGCATCTAATCTGCGATAGAGACTGCTCTGTGATACAGCTCTCTGTATTCAAAACATTAGTAACCCACATTTAAAGAGAGGAGAATGATATCGACACTTTAAACACCAGACATAATGATTGGATTTTTGGGGTAGGTTAATTTACTTAAAGTTTATGTTGAATTTGGATTAAATTTACTTATTTTTCCCTTTAATTATATGTAAATTATAGAAATTGTTGAGTAGAAAATTATCAAAGGTTATTACTAATTATTTGTATTCATATTTTTTATCCGAATTTTTCGAAACTGAAAAAAATTATTTGAAACTACTTCTATTTCAGTGTAAATGGTACACTTGGAACTATGAGCTTAATTATGGATTTCATATTAAGTCAAAACAAAACAGATTACAATGAAGAAATAAAACGAGACATGCCTATTTATCTCCACCAAGACCAGTTTGTTCTTGTCGTTACAATTACAGTGTTCGGAATTATGGGAAATGTACTCCCACTTGTGAAGATGACGTGGGACAAAAATTTCCAAGGTACTGTATTTGTTGTCATCAGAACCATAATATTCACAGATATTGTGAATTTGATTCTTTACCTACTTCATGCTGGATTTAAGTTTGGTAACTTTCGTCTTGAAAAAGTCCCATGTGCAACCTTTCTGGTTGTGTTTTATGGTGTTGCTCATGCCTCAGCTGCTCACGTTGTTTTTCTATTTGGACTTCGGTGTTATATGGTGTCGGAACCCATAAAATTCAATCAGTTACGGAAGCGAACAATTATCGTCTCATCTGCTGCAATATGGGTCCTAAGCATATTATTTTCGATATTTTATTTTGTTCTACGATACAAAGCAGGAATACAGACACCTAGTTATGTGATAATAGTATTTCGTATTTACCTTATTATTGTTCCTGTCCTGCTCATTATTATTTTCCACGTAAAGAAGATACATCGTCTCAAGCGCACATTGAATAAACACAATATTGAACACAACATTATCAAGATGTCCCTTGTGACGTCATTAATTCTTATCGCGTACATGTCATCGGCTATTCTTTTCCTTGTGTGTTACATCTTATCATTATATGGATCTAAAAACAAAGAGGAAAAGTTTCTTCTTGTTGCACAACTGGCCTGGTTACTAAATGCTGTGCTGAGCCCATTTATTTATGTTGCTTCTGCACTGCGTTTTCATAAATGTTTTAAATACTGGATTAGAGGTATTCAATCAATTAGATGTCTACGTTTACCTAAGCAAACGGAAGCAGGGATATGAAGTTCATCATCCGCAACTGAATCCCATACATTGCGCGCGAATTTAAACGTTTAAAAAAAAGAACCAATAAGCACTCTTATACGAGGGTTGTCCGGTAAAATCGTGGACAAAGCTTTTTTTTCCGAAAAATAATGGGCGCAATTAGCTGAAATTTTCAGCAAATATTTATTTATTATATTTAAGTGCATCTTAATTTTTTTGATAAAATGTAGACAAAAATAAAGATTTTATTATGCCTGAATGTGCACAGGGTACGGTCCTACGGCGCACGATCAAAAAACCAGGGTTTCATTAGCGAACACACGAGTATTATTTCGAAATAAAAGTATTAAATAGAAAAGGTTGGGGTAATTATTATCCTATTTTTAATCCACTATCTATTATGTCGTCTTTTGTAAAATTTCAAGGTATTTGTTGAATTTTTGGCAGTTTCCCGAGCATTTGAAATGGGAAAGTGGTAAACACAACACACGAAAAATGGCGACGTTTAATGACGTCACGGCGCACTGGAGAGCAGTTCATTATGATTTAGATGTAGTAATGCCTCCAAAAGAATCTTTAGATAACTACAGAAGAAAAAATATATAAAAATATCACTACATCTTTGGTATACAACTGAAATGAGAGTTTTCTAAGCGGAAGCTTTTTTGATCGGGTCCTCAAGAAGAATAAAACATTACGGACAAACCGCTTCTGGCAATAGCGAAAGACGATTTCACTGTAGACCGTCGCTATAAGATTTAGCTGAATGGTAGTGAGAGTACTAACCATAATTTACTATAAAATCTTCAGAGGGTCCCATGTGTGTGCAAGATTGGTTCCTCGACTGTTTATGAAATAATGAAGGGAAACTAAAGTATGTGCATCAATGAAATCCCCGAATTTAAGTGGGTTTTATCCAGCTTTTTTTTTTTTCGCAAAGAAGAAACGTGAAGCTGCTTTAGACACTTTGACGTTATAATCCGTGTGCCGTAAGGCGATACGACACATAACATATAGCCTCATATTTTGTTTATTTGAAACTGTATCTATTTGAAATTTAATTTGCTATGTATATTGATGAAAAATGAACTATAAAAAGTAGTTAAAATTTTAGAACGCACTGATGATTATTTTTCATTCTAGACAACTTGTCCACGATTTTACCGGACAACCCTCGTACATCTTATTCAAAATATTCTTTACATTCAACAGAGCATGGATAGATGGATATATTTATGAAAACGCTGTAAGCCAACTTTTATGGCTACAATGGAGAGGCAATATCATTTACTTGTTGAACAAAGCATTTGGTATGGGGTACAATGACACTATAAAAGTTCAAATTTTATAACTGACCTGGTCTGAATGAGAATAAGGTCACTGATCTTTCTTGGATAATTTTTGCAGTTATCCATGCATGATAAAATTTTCACAATCATCGGTTTCTTCTTTCAAAGTATAAGAAATATTCAGTGATGTATATATATATATATATATATATATATATATATATATATGTGTGTGTGTGTGTGTGTGTGTGTGTGTGTGTGTGTGTGTGTGTGTGTGTGTGTTAATTTAGAAATAAAATGCAGGATTATGAAAAATATTATAACATTAGTTCTTCTGAAAAGATTACACGCATTTTATACCTTTAACCCAGACGTTTTTAAAGCAATTATGCATATATTAATATATTTGAAAACTAAATCTAGCCAAAGGATTTTTATTTTATTTTACAAGTTGCTTTTACTCACTTAAAATATCAAATCTGCTTTATGTTTTCCTTTTTTCATTTAGACGACGAGAACTTTGAAAACAAAAATATATTAAATGGAAATGATGAATTATCGGAGGGGGTGGGTGGACGCGATAAGATACAAGGAAAGCGGCATTTTGAGTGATCTAAGAATTCATTTTCTTTACGTATGGTGGATACTATTTATTAAAGAGAACAAAGCCTTTTACCTCGAGTCATGCCTGATTCATCACGTTAGGTCGGAGCTACTTTTGGCAAAGTGTTTGACTTCTCAAACTTAGATTTTGGTGATTTCTATTTGTGAAAAAATTTCTAGTAGTTAATTTTTTTTACTATATTATCAACAAATGTAGAGTTTCCTTTACTGAAAAATTTAAATGTACATGTAATGACAGTTTACTATGAAAATACTGAAGGATAAAAAAGTTTCACTGCAACTTTTTTCAAAGAAGGATGGACGGCAGTAGAACTATAGAAAATCTTTTCTTTCGGTGGAGATAACTAAATGCACTGTTAGAGTAACTTAATTTTCAATAAATCAAGAACATCTTTAAATACTTTTTTTTCTCCTCCAAATTCCTTTTTGGGAAGGGAGAAAATAAAATCGTACCATGAGTGAAAACATTTTGTGATTGAACTTTCAAAAGAACACTCAGATGTTCTCGGCTAGTGTGCCATTTTGATTTACAGTCATAAATCATGTGGCCACTCACACAGATAACAGCATCTCTAGTAAGAATCGCAAACTGACTATCAGCAGGTACCTAGGCTATAAATTTACCGTATTAAAGTATTTTTGAGATATTAACTGGTGATTTTATAGGCATAAGCAGATACATCATGGACATTTCAGCGTCTTTTAATTATCTTCGTTTGAAATATCTTAATCTATATGGCTGCTAATAAAACAACAGATTAATTTTGGAGAAAAACACAACTGGCGTCCTGCTGTTTTGTGAAATGGGAGCTTATAAAATACATCTTAAGTAATATCATAAATATGAGTGAGATGTATATCGCTTTACTGATGTAAATTGTTCACTAATACAAAGAGCTACAAAAACTAACTTTTGATTCCTGCCCACATTTTGCACCCATTTAATTCATTATTTATGGCGTTTTGACCATTGAGACTTAACCCATACGAAAAAAATACTATTAGAATTCAATCGGAGTATTCAGTCGACGGTTCGTTGACGATCAAGTGACCGTCAATTGACCATTAGTTGAATTTTTACCATGCAAATGAGGGAGCGTTCAACTCATTTGCATATAGTTGACCACTGTAGAATGCTCCTATATATTCTTTGCAGTTGACCTTTAGTTGAATACTCCTCTATTTTTATTGCAGTTGACCATTAATTAATTACTTCTCCATTTTCTTTGCAGTTGACCATTAGTTGAATACTCCTCTCTTTTCTTTGCAGTTGACCACTGTTGAATGCTCCTCTATTTTCTTTCCAGTTGACCACTGTTGAATACTCCATTAGTCAGTCCATGTTGCATTTAAAAAAAAAATGGAGGGAGTTTTGAAAACCTAAGGCAAGCAGTACAATGAGTACACGTGCGCTTGGAAAAGCTGCCATGTCTCTGAGTAGGAAAAGTCAAAACAATGGGACTATTAAAATGATATACATCTATATGCATGTATGTTTATTAAGCAATAAAACTAAATTGAGCTGGCACACTCTCTCAAGTTGCTATGCCTCCTTCATTTTCTGTGCAGAAAAAGTAGATTTAGTCTAAAGCAATGTCATATTTTTACCAACAACACAATAAAAAACACAACAAAACACTTGATGCACGACTATTTATCGGAATTCTTTTAAGATTTTAACAAGTACATGTGCATAATAATAGGGACCTATACTGGCTACAGTATTATGTCTTTCTAATATCTTTTAGAAAAAATATAAAGAAAGAAATATTTTTTAAAATATTATACTTACTTGGATTGCAGAAGCTGAATCATTTATGAAAATACTTTTTTCAATTCAAAATTCCCCACTTTCTAACAAAACACACACTGACACACGTTTCTTGATTCAAATCTAGATTGTTATAATACTTAATTGAATTGAAAACCCGACCTATAATAATGTCATTTCAAACCCAACAAAAATAGAGTCAGAGAGATTTTCTAACACTGGGTGGTCAACTATAGTCAACTCTGCAAGATCTCACAAAGTCGGAGTGTTCAACAATGGTCAACTCTTTTCCCGCATGAAATTTTCAAAGTATTAGCATTCAACTAATGGTCAACTCGGTGAAAAGCGGTCAATTGACTTGATTAATAATTTTAAATCCAGTGTCAAAAAGTTAATTACTCTTTTTTACAACTGTTTTTATAAGGGGGGTAGAAAACTTTATCCATTGAAATCAGGCTTTAAATCATCAATAGATTTGATTTTTCAAATATGCATTGAAATGGATAAATGACCCTAAAGCTTTTCGTATGTATAACTTATGTAAAATTCAACGTAAAAGATTGATAAAGTATATCTATTTTTGATTTGTAATCTCATTTGAAATTGGTAATAAAATGACCTTTTTTGCTTTTTTTGTCTGTAAACATTTGCCCCCACCCCACCCCTGTGAAACAATAAAAACTATGGTATGAATATGTTGAATTACAATTCATAATTATAATACCCGTAAAAAAAGAATTTTCGTTTTATGGGGGGGGGAGGGTGTTTTAAAAATATTTTCCGTTTTCCGCTGAATTCTATAGTGAAAAACACCTTTTACCAAAATTAAAGAGTTATCTTTCTTTGTTTTACCAAATAAGTTATGTTTTATGAAAATTCACATAAATATCTATATAAATATAAAAAAATCATTCAAATATGTTAAATTTTGAAAATTGACTTGGAGTTAGGCGGCAGAACAATGCTGTCGTTCGCAGTTCTTAACACAAATGCAAAAAAATATTTCACTTTAATAAACTAGACTTAATAACAAAATTCAAAGACTGAAAATAAATTCGGATTTTAAAAATAAGTTTAGAAAAATTGTAGAAGTTTACCATATATCATATATAACTTTAACGTTTATCAAATGAAGTGCCTTTTAGGCAATCAGAAGTTAGAATTTATTTTTCACTATACTATTCAAACAGCGAACCCTATCCAGTGATTGGTACATTTTTTAAATTACTGGAAGTATCCTAATTATCATTATTTTTTTTTTTTGAAAAACTAAATTGACTCAGCGCATGTTGAAAGAGCGATTGAAAGGCCTCTCTTATAAAAAAAAAAAAAGACACAAGGCATGCCACTCTTAAGCTAACCCGTCCAAAATTTTGCCACTGTATTTGATACTGTTATGAGGGGTACCTAGTACAAACAGCCAGATAATATGCAGAATCCTATGTTTCGACCATCTTTGGTCAGAGGTAAGATCTCGAACTGACCAGTTGACCCTCAGTAGCTCAAAAAATAGCCCGGTCTTCGACTCAACTCCTTTTCACGGTCAACTGATCAGTCACAGGCCCCAGTCATGATCAAAGATAACGCTCGAAATATGGGATTTTGCAAGTTGACCAGCCCCTTGTACTACATGTATGTTCCCTTATACTTCTAACGGTATTATACTTACTCTCACCATTTTTGGCAGAGCTAGCTATAGTGATTTCAGGTCTTGAAAACTCAATTTCTTTTGACGGTCAACTAGTCAATCCCAGACCTCACCTCTGACCAAAAATGAGCGTCGAAATTGGGGATGATGGACCTTCTTCAGCTCCTTGTATTAAGTTCTCCTATACTAGTATTATACGCACTCTCACCATTTCTTTCCGAGCTAGAAACAGAAATTGCAGCTCTTGGAAAGTCAATTCCTTTGAATAGCCACTTTGTCTGTCCAAGACCCCTGACCAAAGATGCAGTCGAAATATGGAATTCTGGATGTTGTCTAGCCTCTATTACTAGGTTTTTCTTATAACAGTAATATATAGTTTCCATTTTGGCCGGGCTAGCTTTATGGGTTTGGGGTTCCGTGTCTTGTTTATAAATGAGGTCTTTGATTCCTTTTTCCTTAATATGTTAAATTGAGGAAAATAAGTTTTTCGATAAATTATTTATTAGGACACTTACTGTAGTTTGAATTGTATACAAACCACAGAATAGAATTTGCTAATTGAATAATGAATAATGAATGGAGAATAAGTTTCTAACTTCTGATTGCATAAATGTTGTACACACGTCTTTATAAAATTAAGGTGCATGCTATCATTTTGGCATTTTTGATTATTTTTTGTAGAGATTAGGTGTATATGTTCCGTAGCATAATCTGGAGATATCCCGTTTAAAAGAATTCCTCATCAATTTTACGAACGTTATACATGTACATGTATTATGTTTTAATGATCCGGTACAGACATACTAAATTAATTCTGAATGCATGTGCATGTAAATATTTTGATGGAGTACTTTTTTTTTTAATTTTCACCAGTTGGCCATTTTTCTTTCAAACCTCTAAAAGAATGGACGCAGAATTTTCAGCCTAAATTTAATTAAATGACTAAGGATACTTGAAGATCTAAGGTCAAATACCAAGTGATGTAACATCCTTGAAAGAAAGGGCAATTTTATACTCTTATCAAAGTCACAGAAATTAGGCTTTTTAACACTAAATGATGTAACTCCTTGACTGCCATCTTTGTCAAGTCTACATGCCTCGATCAATTTACTCTGAAATCTATATTGTTTGTGGGGGTTTAAATTTCGTTGCTTTCGTGGTATGAAGAGAC